CTCCTAGCGAAAAAAGATAATGCAAGTTAAAAAAAAAATTTTTTTTGATTTGTTTTAGTTACTCATGTTCATCTCCCAATATTAATTACTAATCAGGCATATCGATATGAGTCATGCATAGACTTTATGTATAGAGCTTCAGGACTTTTTGATCAAATCTTAATAATTTGTTAAGTTATTCTCTTAAAAGTTCTGAAGCCCTATAACGGTAGAGACTGACCTGTATATTAACATATGATCATGGTACTTTAATTCGATTAAATCCAAACTGGCACTCTAGTGAAAAAAGATAATGCAAGTTAAAATTTTTTTTGATCCGTTTTAGTTACTCCTTATGTTTGCCTTCTAATATTAATTACTAATCAGGCATATTGATATGAGTCATATATAAACTTTAATTCGATTAAATCACTGATTATTTATTAATTGAATACAGATTAACCAAATATCCATTTTTGCTAGATACCTAAGTCAACTGAATATCTATTTATTCAACTGACCCAGGTCAACTGAATATCTACTTACTTAACTGAATATCATGAAAAACTAGTTTGAAAAAAATATAAACCGGTTGATGATTTTTTCGGTTCGGATAATAGGTTACGTAGTTATTCAGATAAGATGTTGGAACCCTAGCTATCTGTAACTCTTTGTCTAATAAATGCATAAAGCATGACTGTTAAAGAAAAAAAAAATCAAAAAACAAAGAAACAAAAAAAAAAAAAAAATAAATATTGCTTAAGCTACTATCTCTATTAAGCTTAAGACTTTTGTAGAAATTATATAAAATACTGATACTACAAAGTATTTTATATCTTTAAATTAATAATCTTAATTTTAGTACTAAGAAGTAGGTCTAGTAATCTTAGTATAATAGTTAGGTTGCTAGACTGCTATATAAGAGGTCTGGAGTTTAAATTTATAGGAGAACTTTTATCTGATTAGCTAATATCAATTAATTATCCAAATAACTTATTTATATACTTTAAAGTACTTTTTGAGAATATAACGTTTTACTAAAAAAAAATTACTATCAAAGCTATTTTTAGTATTAAAAGAATATTAATATTCACTGTGCAAAAGAATTTAAAAAGAATTTGCTTTCTAACTTACTTTACTTAGAAGACAAAATATATCTACTTTTTATTAGATCATATTGTAGAATGAAGATAACTAGTATTGTTTTTATTTAAAACTATTTTATTATATTAGATTTAGACAAACTTTTGCTTTTAACTGTTTAATTTGAATAGGTATAAGCTCTTAGTAGTAGAAGATTCAGGCTTAATATTTAAATTTGATTAATTTTTATAGTGTATTTGAGCTTGTCACTATATATTAATAGTTGTAGTTATATATTATATATAGATCTTGTACATAGATTCTTTAATAAGTTTAGGTTTATTAGTAATAAATATAGTATTAACCTACTTTATGTATATATATCTATTCTCTAAATATAAGTAATCTATTCTTTTGTATATATTTATTAGTTTATAAGCTTATTTATTCAAAGTTTTGTTTTATTTTCTAGTACTATAGTATTAGTAAAATTATGTATTTTAATTGGTTAATTATCACAGACAATCATGAGTAGATCTACTAAAATTAACTAATCATATAAATATCTTTCTATGAGGTTTAAATTCTACTGTTAATGAATTTGAATAATTATCTAGACCTTTATATTTAACTTATAATAAACCTTGTTTGTTTCTAGAGTTGTAACCTTGTAAATCATATTGCACTAATATTAATCAGGTATTAGAAATATAACAGAAAAATCAAGTATGATTTAATATTACATAAATAAATTTTAATAGGATCTATAAGCAAAGAACTTGCATAGTAAAAATTCTGAATTAGATGAAGTAGTATGAATTTTAACAATCATGCTAGCTTAATACTTGATCTAGAAGAAGTCTAGATATGAAGAATACAGACTAAGTAGGTACGAGTAAGTCTATAGTATAATAGAAAAGTCAAATATGATATAACATTATATGAATAGTAACACTAACTTGGCTTGGTAACTAACTAGATTTAGAAGGATTTATTTTATGAAATATTTGGAAGAACTAGACCAATTTAGTGAAGAGCTATAGAAGGAACTAGATTAATATAAACACTAATAAGAGTATATGCTAGCTTAATTGAGATATAGTATAGCATAGTTGAGATTATTCATAAGCTCTTACTGAAATAGAATATATTAGAGTACCTTGTAATAAAACTTAGTCCTATGAAGATAATTTAAGACGCAAGTTGGTTTGAGTGATCCTCAAAATAAGATAGCACAAGATTAGCATAGATATAAATATTAGATTAAATATAGAGTTTTATAGTAATACCAGAGAGTTTAAATAGAGTATCTACAGGCAGATATTAGATATAGCAATTAGTAGATAATCTATATAGCAAAACCTATAAATAGATAACAACTAAAGTTATATATGTAGTTAATTGTATCTAGCATGATTAAAGATCCATTTGATTGGCTGAAAATCTGATCTTTTTTAATTGGTCAAAATTAAAATTAAATTTTAATCGGCCCATAATGCAAATATATGTTTTTAATAATAAAAGCACGGGAGACTTCAACAAGCACGCCCTTTCTTGACAATATTATAACGCATATACTTAGAGCACATATATATTTTTTATGTATTGATTAAAAATTTATATGAATACTTTATTTTCTTCTTTTATGTATTTATTGTAAAAGTGTTCGGTCATATGTACTGTACTATAACGGTTTTCATATCTTGTTCAGTAGCATTAGTAAAATGATACGAATTTGTTTTGCATGCATTTGTACAACAAACTAATTGTTTAAATAATAAATTTGAATAAACTAATGTGTGTTTAAAGTCACGTAATAAACGCGTTTTTATTTTAATTTTTTTTTTTAAAAAATCTTCGCAATATGCCAAAGTGTAAAATAAATCATGGCCCTTGCTCCATTCGCAATTGTGACAAAAGCTCTAATAATTTTCGATGCCTAACTAATTTGGCTATAAGAAAAGCATCTATTAAAGGAAATCTTCAGCTGTATCCTTATTTGCAAGCCGGATATCAAATTTGTAGTCCTCATTATACGGCTATTGTTGAAAATCAATTACCTGCACCTGCGTCTATTCCTATACTACCAGTTAAACTATCGCTTAGTGATCAGATTAAAAAAATGACGAGCGTTTTATATACAAAAAGATATGAAAATGTGATACTTGACCCTCATAAATTCGATAAAATGCTTGAAGAAGCTGATCCTAGCTTGAAAAATTTTTTTGCCGATATGTGTGCTATATTAATTCCAGATGATCGTTCACCTTATAATAAAAATGAAGATAAGAAAAAAATTGTTACAATATTATACTTAATGGCAGGAATACGTAATAAGCATGTTAATAAGTTTAAATTAGAGCTTGCTTTGTATCTTGCGGGATCAGGAGTAACTTGCGATGCAATTAATACGTTAAGTAATGCTGGAATTTCGGTTTCTCATTAAACTGTATATAACTACAAAAAAAAAATTGCTGACGAACATCCAATAAGGGTAAAAAAATATTTAAATGAAAACAAAAACCATCTTTGCATATACAACCTGGATGATTATCACAACATCTATGAAAATCGACGTCCGGATAACACATCTCTTTCGGGAGCAGTTCATCTAGCAACATGTGTATCCAAAAAGGTTGAAATATCAGATCCCGTGCTTATTATATTTAATAATAAGTCTGTTCACAATCCTGATAATATCGATGCTTCTATTATTTGTGAAAAACTTATTAACCGATACCAGTATTGCTTCGATATGTCATATTCACAACGGATAGCCCAATGGAATAGTTCATCATTCCCTAATTTTGATAGAATTGATCAGCTTTCAATTCATTTTTATGATAATGCTATTGAAGAACGAAAGGAAGAGCACAAAATGAAAGGGCAATGTTAATAGGAGTAAAGGAACAACAACTACATTCTATGCAAGATTACCTAAATGCATTAAATATTATTTTGGATTATAATAAAGAAATAGGTCATCTTGATAGTAATGTAGCACCAATCATCGCGGATTGGCCAGGTCAGCGTTATATTCGTCAAGCGCTTACTCATTTTCATAATAAAAATGATACTTCAATACCAAAAGAAATAGTATCATTTGTTCCTTTACTTGGGCCTTTGCATGTTGCTCTTAATACAAAAGAACAGGTAATGAAAATGTATTACTCATTTTTTGAGAAGCTCTTCCATTTCGTATTTGGTGAACAAAAAGTTTTAGCCAAAAAACCTAGACCGTGGAGAACAAATCTTATACTTGAGTTAGCATTTACTGCATGGATTGAGATTAAAGAGCATATTATAAAAAAATTTAATTTTTTACAAAAAAATATCGAGTACCAGGTTATTATGGAGCTGTTAGACAATATCATACCAGCTTCTCTCGATATATATGCTTTATTATTTCGATCGGGATCATATGATAATTATGTAGAAACGATTTTTCGTATATGGACCTTCGCCTTACGATGGCATCGTAAAAATTATAATAAGGCCCCATTAGCATTTTTATCGGATCTATTCTATTGGGAAAAAATCGAACATCCAATAAGAGAAGCAATTAAAAAAAATTTAGTTCAATTCAATGATTACTGGATAGAGAACATGCACAGTAGGATAAGAGCTACAACATCACCAAAAGATACTGCTGATAATATAAAGAAACAGGCTTATCTTTTAGATTTTCACAAATATTCTGCATTCCGTGAAATGTTTTCAACTACAAAGCGGTATTCATATACACCACGGGATCTGAAATTTTTAACCACTAAAACTAGTATCTTTCTTCTTTCACAATTTCAAGAAATTTATAAAAAAAATGAAAAAACCGTTTTAGTCAGCAATAAAATTCCATTTTCACAAAAGCGACGAAAGAAAGAAGAAATACCTACCACATATAATCTTCCTACTCTAGGTGAAATAGACATAAAAAGTATGCCAACCGGATATAGTACACGATTCCCCCCCTTATTGAATAATTGTGATCATTGTTATAATACACTAATTATAAATGATCAAACAATTATTTTAATATGTGGGCACGGATTTCACCTACAATGCTACAATGAAATAGAAAGAAAATGTAGGCGTTGTTTAAATTACTATAAAAATGGCATATGGACAAATGTTAATGCGTTTTTAAAGGGCTTAAATTCCAAAAAAAATAAGGATGATAATTTAGATGATGATGAAGAGCAAGAAGATAATGAAGAGGAGAATTCAGAAGAGACGGTAATTGATCACCTAAATAGACAGGAAACTCTAGAATTAGATTTGCTTAATAAAATTAACGAAATTGATAGTTGGTAAATAAAAAAATTGAATATAGCTAATTTTACTCATACGTAAATTTCAAAAAGATCCAAAAAGTTCGAGAAGTATGTCAGCGATCATTCAATAAAACTATACAAGGCTTGAGTGTTCGATTGAGATATAATGCTAGCCAGGTTGATCTGTTTTCTGATAAGTATAAAATGAAAAAGACGAATATATGTTCGGCTTTCTAGTTTCATATCACATAAGTAGAATTTAGTTGAACGTGCAAAATCCTACTTTTTTAAAAAAAAACGGTATAGTAAAACTTTTTAGTGAATCTGATTATACCAGATTAAATTTGAAGGTAGGTAAACGAACGAGCTATTAAAACGTTTGTAAAGTTTTTTAGACGATTAATATGTGATGTAACCTAGCTTGCATATAAGCGAAGTTGGACTTTTTCTTATTTAAGTACTATGAAAAAATTTTTTGTGATCAGCCAATCAAATGGATCTTTAATCATGCTATTGTATCTACATTAACAAATGTAATTTAAAAATAATACTTAATAAAAATCTGCAGACAGCTTGTTGAAAAAAAAATAAAATACTAAGAGGTATTTAAATTTATTTTTAACTATACTTGTCTTATTATATATATTATTATTTACTATTAGATTACTTATAAATATATAATTATTTACTAATTTAGATATAGTATTTTTGATTCTTTTTTAAAAATAGACTAAATCTTCACAAATAAAAAAAAATAAAAATCTAAAGGACCAAAGAAGGTAAATGCAAAAAAACTAAGTAGAAGTAAGTAAGTATAAGAGTATTTGTCCTAGTATAAATACTGTAGTATATTTTTTCTTTTATCTTCAAATTTCAACTTTGTTAAACTTTTTCTTTTCAACTTTAATACTTTATAAAACAAACTTTTAGCTAAAATATTAAAGCTATTATCTGCTTTAGCTTTTTGCTTTTTATTACCTAAAAGGTTTTATGAGACTATATACTATATACTTCTATTTAGAACTAATATTTTACTGAATTTCCTTAAGTTTAATACTTATTTTGTAAAAAAAATTTTTTGCTTTAGTATTAGTTTAAATAATCAGCAAAAAGAGATCTAAATCTGCGTATAAATAAATTTAATTAATTTTAATAAAACTCTGCTCTTATATATAAAAAAACAAATATATTAGTTTTTTAGAATAAATTATTATTGCAAAACACTATTAAGATAACTAAAAAAAGTTATATGTGATATATGTATTATATATATAGTTAAACCTCTCTATAATCATATCTTTAATTTAAAGAATTTGATGCTTATATAGAGATTAAATTTTATAAGTTGGTTTTAAAAATTTAAATGATTATAAGTAATTATAAAGAAGATGACTATAAAGAGATTTGACTGTATTATAAACATTTATTTATAATTAATTAAGAAAATTTTTTTTTTTTTAAAAAAAAAGAAAAGCATAGAAATAAAAATTTGACTAATCAAAAATCTCACAAAAAAACTCGACTTGTTAAAAGTAACCCAACAATTTCACATGAACTTTCTGAAATATCAATTAATAATCATGAAGAAATTTTAAGAATTGAATGTGAAAAACTTAGCATTCAAAGAGATAAAAATAATAAACTAGAGAGGGAAATTATGCTACTAGAAAAGCTTCAAAAATTTAGAAACGATACTTAGAAATTTAATTAAAATATGTTTTGCAAATTTATTATAATAATTATACTTGCGAGTGTATAAACTTATATGTAATTATTAGTTTATCTCTTTGGAAATGTTAACTTAGTTATAACAGTAATATTTTTTAATTTTTATTATTTCAGTCTAATTCGGTTAATAATTTTTTTTTTTTTGAACTAAATACATAAATATTATTTAAAGTACTGTATTATTTTTATAATTTTTTTATACAGTACACTTTATATGAAACAAGTGTACTGTACTAATATATAATATAGCTAAATAGGAATACAATGCAGTACATATAAAGGCACCATATAGATTTTTAAAATATCAGCTTAGTCGAGTCGATAAATTTTGGTCGACTACAAACACTAATCATTTAATGTTAAAAAAAATCATAGATAATGTTAAATAAGAATACATAATAAATTTGCCCATCTCTAGTGACGATAAGAGAAAACCTGTAAATGGATCTTTCGGACTTATCATATTAAAAGTTCTAAGATTCGTATTATTGGTTTAAGTTTCGCGTCTAGTGATATGTATCCGAATATTATTTTTATGAAATTTATATTCGAATTATCCGAATTTTTTATATAAAAATCGGATAAAAGTCGAATAAAATACTAACACTATTCGCGTCTAAGTGATACATCTTTGTCACCAACGTAAATGATAAAATCAGTTTTGAAAACAAAATAATGAAATTCAGCTATTATTCCTCTATTTGTATTTTCTCAAAATTTAAAATTTGAAGTAAAAATTAATATTTAAAATACCATTTATATTACAAATAAATATAAATTATTATAATCCCAAAAAATACAAATGTTTCTTTAAAAAACATGAAATTTATGCTAATAATTTATTATAATCATTTACTATATCTAAACTTTTTCGCTACCTCAGTCATGTTTTTCAAAGCTAAATCAACTTCATCCCATTTTCTGGTTTTCAACCCACAATCTGGGTTAACCCAAATGTTATCACGTTTAAGTCGTTTCAACATTTCTTCTAATCGATGTTCCATTTCTTCTTGACGTGGAATACGTGGTGAGTGTATATCATAAATTCCTGGTCCAATTTCATTCGAGTAGGTGAATGATTCAGGGCGCAGAAACTTTAGACCAGAACGAGAGCTCTCAATTGTAATCACATCAACATCCATGCGACGAATTGCATCAATTATATCAAAGAAGTCTGAATAACACATATGAGTATGAATTTGTGTGATATCAGCTACCGAACTGCTAGCAAGAAGGAAGCTATAAATGTAATGTGAACAAAACAATTTCATAAATCTTTCTAAATAATATCATTTCAAATTTAATATTAAGAATAACATTAAGAAGTCTTACCAATCAACGGACCAATCCAAGTATTCTTTCCATGCGCTATGACGTAAAGGTAAACCTTCACGTAAAGCAGGCTCATCGATTTGAATTATACTAATTCCACAGGCTTCCAAGTCTGTAACTTCATCTCGAATAGCCAAAGCAAGTTGTTGTGTAGTCAATTTGCGATGTTGATCATCACGAACGAATGACCATTGTAACATGGTAACTATAAAATTCATAAAATTTAAATAATTTTAAATTGATCATAACATTATTGAAATAATAAATTTTAGATGACAAATACCAGGTCCAGTTAACATTCCCTTAACTGGCTTTTTGGTCAAAGATTGTGCATATTTAGCAACTTCAGTGGTAATAGGTTTTGGGCGATAGACATCACCGTAAATAATTGGAGGTTTAACGCAACGAGAACCATAACTTTGAACCCAACCATTCTTCGTAAATGCATAACCTTCCAAATGTTCTCCAAAAAATTCTACCATATCAGTACGTTCAAATTCTCCATGAACAAGGACATCAAGATCATTTTTCTCTTGGAGTTGAATACATTTCTTTATTTCATCTTTAATGAATTCATCATATTTCTCTTTTGACATATCACCACGTTTAAATGCCGCACGAGCTTTACGAACTTCCCCAGTTTGAGGAAAACTGCCAATAGTAGTAGTGGGAAAACGAGGTAACTTGAAAATTTCTTGTTGTTTTGTCCAGCGTTTGTCGAACGTTGATCTGCGACGTTTCATATCAGGATTTACTCCTTTTAATCTTTCTTGAACAGCTGGATTATGAATTTTTGAAGATTTACGACGAATTTGAACAGATCGTTGATTATCCTCTAATTCAACTTTAATGCTATCGATTCCATTATTCGCAGATTTGGTGATAAGAACAATTTCTTTAATCTTTTCAACAGAAAAAGCAAGCCAATCTTTAACTTCAGGGTTCAATTCAGTCTCTGCATCCAAGGAATGTGGAGTGTGAAGTAATGAACATGATGGTGCAACAATAACACGATTTGCTCCTAAAACTGCCACAGCTCTACTAACTGTGTCAAAAGCAGAATTTAGATCACTTTTCCAAATATTGCGCCCGTTAACAACTCCAAGTGACAACTGGAGTGTAGGATGTTTTGCGACAGCACTAAGAACTGATTCGAATTGTTCAGGTGCTCTAATTAAATCGACGTGAAGACCATCAATAGGAAGGTCAGGAAATATAAAGGATAGGTTGGGTACAATATCTCCAAAATAAGTTGTAAGGTGTATCTTTATTGGTTCCCCGCTTGACTTCTTCGCAGCAATAGAAAGACGGCAGTATGCAGTGTGATAACTTTGAGCCAACTTTGGATCTAAGTCCATAACTAAACATGGTTCATCAAATTGAATAGAACATGCTCCAGCTTCAGCTAGATGTCTAACGATCTCTTCATAGACAGGTAAAAGTCCTTCTAAAAGTTGAATCGGTTTAAAGTCTGTCGGAGAGTTTGGGATAGCTTTACCAAGAAGGAGCAAGGACACTGGACCGATCAAAACCGGACGAGTTTCAACACCGAAAGATTTTGCCAGTTTATATTCGTCAAGGAACTTACTACTGGTCAACTTGAACTGCTGGTTTGGTTCAAATTCGGGAACAATGTAATGATCTATAAATATCGATAGAATGAAAAAATAAATGAAATTGAAATATTTAGCATTATTTTAACGTGCAGCAATAATAGTAATATCACTTACAATTTGTATCAAACCACTTTTTCATTTCCATTGCTTCCAAGTCTATAACAGGCAAATCAGAGCCTTCACCTGGAAATTGTTGAAATCCTCTTGCCATTGCAAAGTATGTTGACAGCTTGTTACCTTCTAATGCAGAGGGTAACAGATCATCATCATTCTTAATAAAAACATCTCGATAGCGCTTCGGGATTGCACCAACTGTAAATGCATGATCCAAGACTTGATCATAAAAAGAGAAATCATTACTAGGAACAATATCTAACCCAAGTTGATTCTTTTGAAGTATCCAATGATTTTTGCGTAATTCATCGGCAACTTTTAAAAGAGCAGAATCGTTAATTTTGCCTGACCAATATGCTTCAACTTGACGTTTTAACTCTCGATTTGCACCCATACGCGGGAAACCCAAATTAGCGGAGAGAACACTCATAATTGTGTGAAATAATGTCGTAAATTTGAATATGATGAAAAGGGAGAAAGACAAAAAAACACACGGAGAATTATTTTTGGGTACAGATCTAAATATATACGTTTGTGGTTTGTCTCAGGTGATAACTGATAATTGATTTTTTGGCCAGCATTAACTGACTAAACTATATCCAAATCTCAAAACTCTAAAAAAATAAGTGAATTATCTGATTTTTTTGATAATCTTTTTTTCAGAATTGCGCTGATTTGTTAAAATTTACTATCACTAAAAAAAAAAAAAAAAAAAAAAGTATATAAAGTAAATGATTGGGATTATCACATGTCATCAATAAATGGCTACATTTGCTAACGCTAATTTTACCACTACTTTCTTGTATTAGTAACATATAATGGGGGGGGTGAAATCTTTTCCACTTGTTTCACTCTCACAATTTAGTATAAACTTTTAATATTAATATTTTATTGGACAAAAAAAAAAAAAAAAAAAATGTATCAAGTAAAAAAAAATTTCGATGTTCTTGCATGCAATCCCCAATATATGGGGATCAGTACACAAAAATTGTGGCGAAGTTAATCTTATCGGCACGTATATCGAAGTCACGTGATACAAATTACCATTCGATTCCTCTCGATGAGGATATAAAAATCATGCGATTTGGATTACGGATGGGGGAAATTTGGCGAATCGAGAATATCTCGCGACTCCGTAATCCAAATCAAACGATTTTTATACCATTCTATTCCTCTCGAGTGGATTGAATGGTATATAAATCGTTTGATTTTGATCAGAGTCATGAGATATTCTAATCTGTTTTTACTATATAATTCTATAATTATACAATAAATCTCATGCTGCTGTGATCCAAATCAAACAATTTTTATACCATTCGATTCCTCTCGATGAGAGGAATCGAATGGTAAAAAATCGTTTGATTTGGATTACGGGATCACAAGATATCCCTGATTCGTCATAATACTCTCCTTAGCATTAAATTTCTTTATTTTTATAAAAATCGAGATATCTCTGATCCAATTCTAACGATTTTTATACCATTCGATTTTTCTCATAGAGAGGTATAAAAATCATGTGATTTGGATCACATGACGTCGATATACGCAAATTCGCCTATTCTAGGGTTGCGGCTAGTGATGGGCAAATCGTGGTTTTTCCAAATATCCCGCGCGATGCGGTTTACGCGTGTGATCCGCGCGTGATGCGCGGGATAGAGATTACAAAATCATGTTAATGCGGGCCGGCTGGCCTGAATTAGGGATCATATTAAAAATCCCAAAAAATCACGCGCATTTTGCGCGCGTGATCCGCGCGTGATCCCGCGCATGCCCATCACTAGTTGCGGCACAAACCTCTTTTTTTGAATTACGACACTACTACATAATTTGGGTTTGGGAATCGGGATTTCTACTTAATTTGGGTTCAAACATATGTTCCATTAAGATTAATAGTGTCAAACTCGGAACCAGTCAAATTAGCTACTAGGATTGAAGCGAATTTATGAAATACCCTCAAATTTTAAAAATTTTGACACTGATAGTGAGTCAATTTACTGTATGTATATACTGTACACATCTCAATTATGCAAATTATACGTCTAATTTTGGAGTGTCAAATAAATTTAGTGGTTAATATGGGTTAGATAGTGGGGAAGATGAATTAAACGAGTTATTATTCTAAGTCAGAGGATTATAGTGAGATCGGATGATGATGAGATTTGGGTCTACTTGTACTCTTTTCTAAATAATTCTAATCCTAAAAGCCAAGAAAATGCATCCTAAAAAATTTTAAATTTTTATATTAAAATAGGTTCAAATCTCACTATAATCCGCGATATTAATTAAAGTGTAACATTTGATTTGACCTTTAGGGGAGGCTAGAGAACATGTGTTTTCTTTAGAGGTCTCTGTAAAAAGAAATGTTTATATCTTAGAGGGAAGAGGTTAATTTTGTCAAAATAAAAAACACATGTTTTCTGGCCTTCCTCTTACAGAAATGAATTCCAAACTCAATTTTTACATGTAAAAATTTGAAATTTTTATCATAATATATATTACATGTCAAAAGTGTATAACATTATGACAAATTAGAGGTATTTTGTAAAACCTAGTAAATACTATTTGGGTTTTTACCTAATCCCAAACTATTAAGTTTAGATTGCAACTCTACATTATATGAAATCAAATAATTAGATCAGTTAGTCTTTTTTTTTTAAAAAAAAAAAAAAAATAGTAAAGTTGTCAAAAAAAACCAGATCTCAAATTTGTTCTGATATGTTTTAGTTTAGTAAATTATAGATTTTAAAAGCTAAAGTCTGGTTTTTCTTTAGAATTTTATCAGATAATTCTGGAACAGAGATCAAAAAATAAAATAAAAATAAGGATTTTGAAGCATAAATTTTGACCAACTTCACTTATATGATAATATTTTTAATATATTAGATTTACTTATTATTATTTAAAATACAAGTTCTCAAGTATTTGTTATTGTATTTAAAAACTTGAGATTGAATATTTTGACAAGTTTTTATAATATTAATTTTTTATATTTTTTTTAATTTTATTAATTATTAACAGTATTAAGTATTATTAAAAAAGTATTCATGAAATAAGGAAACTCTCTTCGTTGATCATTCTGACCATTTTTGGAGCAGAAGGAAAAACTTAAAAAACACCAATTTTCTACTAAGAAACAATAGTCAAGCCCTTAAAGAGAAA